GACCATCACCTGTGCGTAGTAGGGCAGCATCGGCGTCGGAGTGATCCCCAGGTTCTTGAGCTGGTCCTGCATGCGTTCCAGCGCCACATGTCTTATTGCTGTCGGCCACAATCGAATAGGCGCCCCGGATGCTTTGAGAGTCACTCGCAGCCTTCTTTTCAACTGGCAGATCTCGCCCTCCACTCGCCCGTTTGCAGCATGGTCATCCCCACCCGTGAGCGTGAGGATCATGTTGCGTTCAGCGCACCACTGCCGGACCGGCTTCGCAAGGAACTCCTTGGCTCTGTCGCAGTGCATGCGGTAGAGGGGAATGCCCATGCTCCGATATTTTGCAAACAGGAGTCCGAGAGCTAGCAGCACGTCCTTGGTCTTGCGAGATTCCAGGAGTTCCACCGCCGTGACATTCTGTACCTGGTACCCACGTAGCGCGTCCTTCATTTCGTCCCGCACCTTGACGTTGACTGCTTCTGCTACTGCGTCACTGACCCGAGGCTCATCGTCCTCGCACTCCAAGCCCTCAAGGGTATCATCCTCGGCAACATGGTCTTCGGGATCCGCCGAGTCATCTGGCCCTCCTCGAAGTTCATGCTCGCCGAGAGGTTCCTTGTCTTCTCCGTTTGCTTCCCCAGGCTCCGGGGCTATCTCCTTCACAGGCACAGCAACCGTAGCCACCAAAGCGTACTTCACCTTCTTGCCAGTGCCCACGTCGTTTCCTGCCGTAAAGGGACCCGTGATGTCGACGTTGAGCACATAGGCCGAAACCGCCGCATTCAACCTTCGGTGAGGGCGGTCAACTCCGGCTTCTTGGAGACACATCCGGCATCTCCGATCAAAGGGGGTATGGCCACGATGACCGTGTTGTTTCCACTGCTCCAAGCTCATCGCCTTCTTCACCTTTGCGTGGTTCATCTGGCCGATGCTCCGGAGATAAAGCTGCAACGAAGCCTTGATCGCCGCCACCATCCGCGGGGCCCAGGCCGCCCACTCTCGAGATTGCCGAAGTCGTCCTTCCAAATCTTCTTCCAGTTCCTCCTTCCCCTTGCCCTTCATCCCCGCTAAGTCTTCCATGCCCGGCAGGTTCGTGAGCAGGGTAGTAGGCTTTCTCCTTTGGTGCCCGCAAGCACCCTGATCCAAATCCACCATCGTCATGTTATTCTCCCGTCCGAACTCCATGATCTCCGGGAAGTTCCAGAACGAGGGTATGGATCTCGCCCTTGATTCCTCCATGTACTTCATGGGATCCATCGGGCTCTCTTGCAAAAACCCGATGTCTGGCATCCACGGTGGCTTATTTTCCATTGCCTTGAGCCACAGCCCAACCTGCTTAAAGAACAGCGCTGTGTCTCCATTGACCTTCTGCTGGTTCTCCGCACTGAGTCCCGGGAGGCCATACCGACGATCATCCCGTCCACGAAGAGGTGGGGGCCCCGGCTGGATGTGCCGCAGTCGTGATACTGTTCGGCACGGAGGTCCTCCGATCACTGCCCTGATCAGACCCATCTCTGCCAGTTTCCACAAATAGCCCCACAGGGCCGGGTTGTGCAAATCCTGCCGCGAATCCTCTTGCACGTCCACCGTGATGATCTCGAAACCTTCCAGGCCCGTTTTTCTCCATTGTCTTCCGTCCTTGCCCGAGAACAAGTGAATCACCACTCCCCGGCCAGACTCCCACCGTCGTCGAAGTCTCCGGTTGAAAGGACATCTGCCATTAGTCTCGCTCTCGTCCGTGACCCGCATCATGTAGGCCAACACTTCCTTCGGCAGCTCCGGGAATCTCGATCTCCACCATTCTTCATCGTTGGTTGCCCACTCCGATGACCCAGCCGAGTCCAAGAAGTCCAAGAGCCTCATTGCCGCCTTCCTTTCCATAACCGGACAGCCCGATCTCAACCAGCAGTCCAATCTTCCCAGACGGTGATGCTCAATACGGCATCCCTTGGCCGTCCAGTTGATCACGAAGCCAGCCTCCACCAACGTCCTCAGTGGTACGATTGGCTCTACCGGCTCCTTTGTCAGCAGGGCGATCGTGTTCTTATGCTTGTACATCACCGCCGTGCCACATGCCAACTCCACTTCGCACTCCACCAGCCCGCTCAATTCTTCCGGACGTGCCTGACGAAGCGGATGCGTAGCCCCACCATCGAGCAACGCCAGCTCCTGATCTGCGTCTGCTTCACCATAGCAGATCTGCTTCACCTTGAACTTGGCCGCTCTCATCGTTTTGAGGAGGCCCGTCACTTCCTTGATCAAGTCCTCCCCCGAACCTGCTGCTTGGCCGCTGTTGACCGTCGGTTTAGTGGGCCCCGCCTGTGCCTTGGCACTTACTGTGATCGTCTCCTTGGGGGGCTCCGGGACGCCGTTCATGGCTTCCTTGAGGCCCTCCACGGTCTTTTTCCCGTCCTCGTCTCTTCCTTTAGCTATCTTAGACGCTGCCACCTTGGGTGCCACAGGTTCCTTCACCTTGATGGGGCAGTCCTTTTTCGCATGCCCAACACCCGAGCATTGGAAGCAGCGGTTCGTCTTCGAGATGCCCTCCCATGAGTGCGCGAAGCTACAACCACCGCCACGTCTGCAACCTTCCTCCGTGCCCCAAAACCGGCACGGCATACCCGACGCCTTTTTCTTGTCGAAGCCACCAGGTTTGCCGTCTTGGTACTTTTGATCCGCAAACGCCTTGAGCACCGGGTTCGCTGCTGCATTGGCGTTGGGAGCGGGGGTTGTACTTGCCGCGGGAGTTTTAGCCGATGATGCCAAAGCCAGTTCCTCCGACTCCGCCTGCAGAAACTCCGCGTAGAGCTTTATGTACTCCAAATCCGGCCTCACATCCACCATTAACTCCTGTCTGACCGATGCAATCCTGAAGCCAACCTGCCCATTGCCCTTGCTGATGACCTCCCCGACCTTGTTGAGCACCGCCATGAGAACCAGGCCATCTGGCAGCGCCAGCCCCAGCTCCTCCGCTCTGCTCAGCCACCGCCTCCACTGCCTCAGCGTTTGGAGCGCCTCCGCATTGGAAGTTCCGATCTTGTGGTCCGCCAGGTTCTTTAGGAGGGTCCCCCGTTCCGACTGACCACCAGGTTGGTAGATCTGGTACAGACGGAACATCACCCTCCTTGATGAGATAATGTCCCGACGTATCCCATCGGGCACGGCCGCCAAGAGCATCGAGACACCCCTCTGCTCCACCCGAAAGTTGTGTTCCGGACCCAAATCCAGTTCAGGTAGTAGCCGAATCTTCTCCAGGGGAGTCGCCACCAACCATTTCGCGTAGGCCTGTTCCGCTTGCTCCACGACCTTAATCCACCAGTTCCTGGCCGATCCAGCGATGTCTGACATCAGGGGGTTGATCACCGTCACCCAATCTCCAAACTGCAAGGATGCCATATCCCCTCCAGGGGGTGGTAGAGCCGGGAGCTCCAAGTTCCTCAACGCTTCCGTCATGTTGGTTGCTGTCCGCAGAGCGCTATCCTCAGGTGGTATCCCCCTTGGCGGAGGAGGTGGTGGTGGCGGAGGAGGGACTGCGTCACTCTGGGCCGTGCGGAAGGACTGTAGCTCCCCCCAGCCTGGTTCAGCCTGTTCAGCTCCAGCTGAAATGCTTCCTCCGCTTCCTTCATGACCCTGACTCAGGCCTTTGAGGGGATCCCGCAAAACCTCCATGACCCTCAGCAGCAGGCATTCCCGCCACCATCGCCCTCCTCTGAACCTCGGGGCTCCAGAAGGGGTTCACCTGTGGCGGCTGCTGCGGCGGTCCACCATGACCCCCGCGATTATCCCAGCATCTTTTGGGGGAGGTATCCATTGCCACCCTCCAGCGGCACCAGCAGCTCCTTCTGGGCGACGTCCTCGACCAGCCGATCCATTGCCTCTTTGTTCTTGATCCGGACCGTTTTCATCAACAGGCCAAAGGGTCAAAGGCCTCAACTGCCCATACGTACCGCCACGACCTCCATCATCTTGCCATCCTTGATCTCCCGGTCCAGGCCGCTGCCCTTCTCCCGGATGATGACCTGCCGTAGAGCACCTTCACCTACTTGTCCTGGATGTGCTCCATCTCCCGGCATCCCACGATCTCGAAGACCAGGTCTGGGTTCTTCCACCGGATTCGCCACCCGTCCTGGAGCACCCTGACCTCCTGGCCCTTGAACAATGCCTGGGGGTGGAGGTATCCCCTCACGCGATCCCGCGCTCACCATCCTCGCGGTCCTATCTCCAGCATCGGTCAGCCTCCTAAGTTCCGGTCCCGAAGCTGGCAGCGGCACCAATCTCGATCTCCGAAAAGCTCCGCGCCTTGGGTCCTCCACGATCAGCCTATCCAAGGCCTGGTCCGCCGTCTCGCCCGCCTGGACCAACAAGTCTTGCCCTTGTCGACCTTCTGGAAGATCACCTTGCCCTCCCGCGTGACCTCCAGCTCCGATAGCGGGCCGCCTTCGACGAAGCAGGTCCATCAGAGCTCCTTTGGGCTCATAACCTACGAAACACAAAAACCAAAAAGGGGTCCAAATGCACAGCTCAGCGCCGCACACTTTTTTCTTGAGCCAAACGTCATGGTCGGGTGTGCGTCACTCACAGTTTCAGTGCAAGTGCGCAGGGAAGGCTGAAGGCCATGCTGGCGAAAAGGTATCCTTTTCATCGGTTAGCTTGGTTAGAAATAGATGGGGAACCCACTGGTTTAGATTGTATTTATGAGCCATGTACCAGGGAATCGCATCTATTCTATCAAAAAGACTCCTATGGGCTGGGCTGTCCTCTTTCCTTCTCAGACTCTCATCTTGGGAAGGCGGACCATCGATGCAAGAAAGGTCGCACGGAAGGCTTTTGTAGCCGCTGGGTCAAACCGTGTTCTTTTGGGTGTTGATTTTCATGTCAAAACTCAAGCGCATTGGGTGGGGTTTTGATTGAACACACACACACACCAAAACCGGCGTTGATTTTTGTTCAAGCCATGCCAATGTGCTTTCTGTTTTGAAACGAACTGCACCTCTTGCCCACAACTCTTGCAGGTCTTCAGCGATGCCGGAGACCATGGAGATCAGCGATGCCGCCAAGTCGGGGGATGGCAGCACCCAGAACGCCGGGATCCCAAAAGGTGGGAGGCCTCGACCGGCCGACGTCCCTTTCATTCTAGCTTGCGCAGTTGGCAAACTTCAGAGTTTGTGTGGTCTGAGGATCGTTTTTAGGCTTTTAGCCCAGAAAATGCGATGCTTTTCTTTCTCGGGACCGCTTGCTTCGCAAGCATCTGCGGGGGAAAAACGTGGGATGGACAATCATACTCACAAACAACTCATGTCAGCAGCCAGGTGATTGGCTCGTGGCGTTTTTGGAAGTGACCCCAGTAGGTGGGCATCAAGGTGGACGCCAAGTTCCAGTGTGCTCGGCTCAGGATTTAACTTGCTGGTGCGATGGGTCGGGAGTGAGAAATGGAATGAACCCAGGGATTTCCTTGAAGGAAACCATAGGGGATGGATAGGGGTCATTCCCTCATTCCCTGCATGCTCTGCACGAAAATTGCTGGGAAGCGGAAGGAACATCTCTCTCCACATCGCCAGATCGCTTGGAGCAAGTCCCCAGACAATCGCGCTTGCATGCAGCCACCATCCAGTACTCTCATGCCGCCTTGCCTAGTGCTTTTGACAGGGGGGTTGGAGGCTTGACCTGAGGTTCATTGAACATGAGACTCCGTCTTTTTGTGAGGATACCACCCGTCTTTTGGCTAGGTTTTAAAGGAGCACCCCCTGTTTGGGTCCCAGTCCGAATCCTAAAAACAAGCGAAACCGAGCCACCCATCTTTGAAGAGCCCTTGCGGTGCCCTTGCGCTTTTGAGGTGCCGAGTGCCGCCAGAAGTTTGACTCTGAGAAGGCGGAGTCACCGGTTTTCCGCTGGCGAGCGCTTGATGGAAGCTCTTCTCAAGGAAGAAACAACCTTCGTGTGAGGTCGTTTTTCCCAAAAGCATCTCTGATGCTTGGGTTCTGCTTTAGGTTTTCTCTTAAGGTGCCTGGGAGCGATACAAGCTGCGACGACGGAGATAAGAAGGGATTTCCATTTCGTTGTGCTGCAGACCGGGCGTGCGATGCCGGCTGAGGGTGCAGACCGGGCGTACGAGGCTGGGGGGACGGCGGTGTGGGGCTGGCTGGGGGGACGGCAAACTGGGTGCGCGAGGCTGGCTGGAAACTGCCCGCGAGCGAGACTGGCTGGCTGGGGGGACGCAGACTGCGCGTGGCTGGAAACCGCCCGCGAGCGAGACTGGCTGGCTGGGGGGACGGCGGTGTGGTGCAGACTGGGCCCGCGAGCTCGTGACATGCGGAAACCGCCCGCGAGCGAGACTGGCGCGGTGGACGCTCGTGACATGGGGAAACCGCCCGCGAGCGAGACTGGCGTGGTGGACGGTCGTCACATGCGGAAACCGCCCGCGAGCGACTGGCGTGGTGGACGCTCGTGACATGGGGAAACCGCCCGCGAGCGAGACTGGCGCGGTGGACGCTCGTGACATGCGGAAGTTAACCGCGCGGGAGCGAGACTGGCGCGGTGGACGCTCGTGACATGCGGAGACCGCCCCCGAGCGAGACTGGCGCGGTGGACGCTCGTGACATTCGGAAAGCGCCCGCGAGCGAGACTGGCGCGGTGGACGTTCGTGACATGCGATAACCGCCCGCAAGCGAGACTGGCGCGGGGGACGCTCGTGACATGCGGAAACCGCCCGCGAGCGAGACTGGCGCGGTGGACGCTCCTGACATGCGGAAACCGCCCGCGAGCGAGACTGGCGCGGTGGACGCTCGTGACATGCGGTCGCGAGCGAGACTGGCGCGGTGAGACGACGCTCGTGACATGCGGAAACCGCCCGCAAGCGAGACTGGCGCGGTGGACGCTCGTGACATGCGGAAACCGCCCGCGAGCGAGACTGGCGCGGTGGACGCTCGTGACATGCGGAAACCGCCCGCGAGCGAGACTGGCACGGTGGACGCTCGTGACATGCGGAAACCGCCCGCGAGCGAGACTGGCGCGGTGGACGCTCGTGACATGCGGAAACCGCCCGCGAGCGAGACTGGCGCGGTGGACGCTCGTGACATGCGGAAACCGCCCGCGAGCGAGACTGGCGCGGTGGACGCTCGTGACATGCGGAAACCGCCCGCGAGCGAGACTGGCGCGGTGGACGCTCGTGACATGCGGAAACCGCCCGCGAGCGAGACTGGCGCGGTGGACGCTCGTGACATGCGGAAACCGCCCGCGAGCGAGACTGGCGCGGTGGACGCTCGTGACATGCGGAAACCGCCCGCGAGCGAGACTGGCGCGGTGGACGCTCGTGACATGCGGAAACCGCTTCCCAGCGAGGCGGGGGACGCTCGTGACATGCGGGAGTTAACCGCCCGCGAGCGAGACGGTGCGGTGCGCTCCTGACATGCGGAAACCGCCCGCGAGCGAGACTGGCGTGGTGGACGCTCGTGACAGGCGGAAACCGCCCGCGGCTCGTGACAGGCGGAAACCGCCCGCGAGCGAGACTGGCGCGGTGGACGCTCGTGACATGCGGAAACCGCCCGCGAGCCAGACTGGCGTAGTGGACGCTCGTGACATGCGGAAACCGCCCGCGAGCGAGACTGGCGCGGGGGACGCTCGTGACATGCGGAAAACGCCCGCGAGCGAGACTGGCGCAGTGGACGCTCGTGACATGCGGAAACCGCCCCCGAGCGAGACTGGCGCGGTGGACGCTTGTGACATGCGGAAACCGCCCGAGAGCGAGACTGGCGCGGTGGACGCTGGTGACATGCGGAAACCGCCCGCAAGCGAGACTGGCGCGGTGGACGCTCGTGACATGCGGAAAACGCCCGCGAGCGAGACTGGCGCAGTGGACGCTCGCGACATTCGGAGACCGCCCGCGAGCGAGCCTGGCGCGGTGCACGCTCGTGACATGCGGAAACCGCCCGCAAGCGAGACTGGCGCAGTGGACGCTCGTGACATGCGCAAACCGCCCGCGAGAGAGACTGGCGCGGTGGACGCTCGTGACATGCGGAAACCGCCCGCGGGCCAGACTGGCACGGTGGACGCTCGACACGCCCGCGAGCGAGACTGGCGCAGTGGACGCTGGTGACATGCGGAAACCGCCCGCGAGCGAGACTGGCGCGGTGGACGCTCGTGACATGCGGAAACCGCCCGCAAGCGAACTGGCGCGGTGGACGCTCGTGACATGCGCAAACCGCCCGCGAGCGAGACTGGCGCGGTGGGGCGCTCGTGACATGCGGAAACCGCCCGCGAGCGAGACTGGCGAGACTGGCGTGGTGGACGCTCGTGACATGCGGAAACCGCCCGCGAGCGAGACTGGCGCGGTGGACGCTCGTGACATGCGGAAACCGCCCGTGGGCGAGACTGGCGCGGTGGACGCTCGTGACATGCGGAAACCGCCCGCGAGCGAGACTGGCGCGGTGGATGCTCGTGACATGCGGAAACCGCCCGTGAGCGAGACTGGCGCGGTGGACGCTCGTGACATGCGGAACCCGCCCGCGAGCGAGACTGGCGCGGTGGACGCTCGTGACATGCGGAATTAAACCGCCCGCGAGCGAGACTGGCGCGGTGGACGCTCGTGACATGCGGAAACCGCCCGCGAGCGAGACTGGCGCGGTGGACGCTCGTGACATGCGGAAACCGCCCCCGAGCGAGACTGGCGCGGGGGACGCTCGTGACATGCGGAAACCGCCCGCGAGCGAGACTGGTGCGGTGGAAGCTTGTGACATGCGGAAACCGCCCGCGAGCGAGACTGGCGCGGTGGACGCTCGTGACAGGCAAAAGCCGCCCGCGGCTCGTGACAGGCGGAAACCGCCCGCGAGCGAGACTGGCGCGGTGGACGCTCGTGACATGCGGACACCGCCCGCGAGCGAGACTGGCGCGGTGGACGCTCGTGACATGCGGAAACCGTTCGCGAGCGAGACTGGCGCGGTGGACGCTCGTGACATGCGGAAACCGCCCGCGGGCGAGACTGGCGCGGTGAAACGCTTGTGACATGCGGAAACCGCCCGCAAGCGAGACTGGCGCGGCGGACGCTCGTGACATGCGGAAACCGCCAACGAGACTGGCGCGGTGGACGCTCGTGACATGCGGAAACGACCGCAAGCGAGACTGGCGCGGTGCACACTTGTGACATGCGGAAACCGCCCGCGAGCGAGACTGGCGCGGTGGACGCTCGTGACATGCGGAAACCGCCCGCGAGCGAGACTGGCGCAGTGGACACTCGTGACATGCGGAAACCGCCCGCGAGCGAGACTCGCGCGGTGGACGCTCGTGACATGCGGCAACCGTCCGCGAGCGAGACTGGCGCGGCGGACGCTCGTGCATGCGGAAACCGCCCGCGAGCGAGACTGGCGCGGTGGACGCTCGTGACATGCGGAAACCGCCCGTGAGCGAGACTGGCGCGGTGGACGCTCGTGACATGCGGAACCCGCCCGCGAGCGAGACTTGCGCGGTGGACGCTCATGACATGCGGCAACCGCCACGTGGGCGGCTCCATGTGAACAGCCCGGCGCTCCAGGTACGCCATAATTGTCCTTTTTGCCGCGCACCTGACCCGAACAAACGGCGCCAATGTGTTTCTAGGACGAACCCTCTCTTCAGAAGCTGTAGCCTCTTGGGGTTCGCCGTGCTTATTTGGAAGCAGCCTGGCAGCACGTTGACATGAATATGCTGAGCACACCCGGCCCAAACAAAAGGGCGCATGAACATCCGAACAGCTGACCCCGGTCTACGCAGATCGTGGTAACACTGTGTCTCAGACTTGTTTCGGACAGGCGTCAGACCCACCAAGTGACCGAGGCTTGTCCACACCGAGCCCCCCGCAAAAGCGCAGCGCCGGCCCCGTCTCCACACACCTGCGGCGAATCCACCCAACTTGCCATCCACACGCATCCAATTGACAACGTGCGCGGCCCTTTCCACAAAGTCACCAGTTGCAATTGGTTGCGAATGGGAAAATAGGTGGAGAAACTAACGAATCCAAGCAAGCTTACGAAGCAAGTTTGTGAAGGCCACGTGCACGGCTCCATGTGAACAGCCCGGCGTTCCAGGTACGCCAAAATTGTCATTTTTGCGCACACCTGACCCGAACAAATGGTGCCAACGTGTTTCTAGGACGAACCCTCTCTTCAGAAGCTGTAGCCTCTTGGGGTTCGCCGTACTTATTTGGAAGCAGCCTGGCAGCACGTTGACATGAATATGCTGAGCACACGGCCCAAACAAAAGGGCGCATGAACATCCAAACAGCTGACCCCGGTCTACGCAGATCGTGGTAACACTGTGTCTCAGACTTGTTTCGGACAGGCGTCAGACCCACCAAGTGACCGAGGCTTGTCCACACCGAGCCCCCCGCAAAAGCGCAGCGCCGGCCCCGTCTCCACACACCTGCGGCGAATCCACCCAACTTGCCATCCACACGCATCCAATTGACAACGTGCGCGGGTTGCAATTGGTTGCGAATGGGAAAATAGGTGGAGAAACTAACGAATCCAAGCAAGCTTACGAAGCAAGTTTGTGAAGGCCACGTGCGCGGCTCCATGTGAACAGCCCGGCGTTCCAGGTGCGCCAAGATTGTCCTTTTTGCCGCACACCTGACCCGAACAAATGGCGCCAATGTGTTTCTAGGACGAACCCTCTCTTCAGAGTCTGTGGCCTCTTGGGGTTCGCCCTACTTATTTGGAAGCAGCCTGGAAGCACGTTGACATGAATATGCTGAGCACACTCGGCCCAAACAAAAGGGCGCATGAACATCCGAACAGCTGACCCCGGTCTACTCAGATCGTGTTGTAACACTGTGTCTCAGACTTGTTTCAGATGGGTGTAGAGCGAGCTTATGCCTTGCTTCCAATTTGGGAGTGGTAGTT